GAGGAAATGGTGTCTCAGCCTTTTCTATCCACACTGGCTTCTGAGTAGCTAGGATTGCAGGTGTGAGCTATCACCTCCTGCTTAACCTCTTCTTTACAATGCTATGCTCCCCTCCCATATAAACCACATCCTCTATGCAATGCAGGGGAAATGTGTTGACCTCCATAGTTGTTTCCTTTTTAAATGGAATAGCTTATTCCTGTTTGCTTTTTCTCTTGATAATAGACACAAGATGCAGAATTTGAAATGAATAAGTGCAGAGTAAATACATGAATCTTTCTCTGTGTGTGTACTTACTTATTTGACAGTATTCTGGTGAAATTTCCTTAGGTACTTTTAGCTTCTGGTTAAAAAGCTGATATGGATGCACCTCCTTTTGTTTGACAAAACTGTATAATGCAGGAGGAGAAATATTCAGCTGTGTTGTTAGCCAAACTGGTCAAATAGAGTGTTGGATCCTCTTGTCTTATGACTGAACTCAGTCACAAAAAGAGGGTGCTTTATCCCTTTCCAGTATGCGTGGGGAGACATACAGAGCAAAGCTAGACAATCTCGTGGTCTTTTCATGTCATCATCGTCCTTTATTTTTTTCTGCTTTACTTTGTTTTTTTTTTTTTTCTGGACAAAGTCTTGCTATGTAACCCAATAGCTGGGCTTCGACCTTGTTATTCTTCTACCTCAATTTCTTTGAGGGCTGGGATTACAAGTGCAACCCGTTACCCTCGCTCTTTTATTTTAGAGAGACATTTCTATGTTTGTAAGGAACAGCTACTCTCCTTGACAAGTTCTATAATGGAAACCGTGTTCTGAGAACTGATCTTTGATAGAAACAAGCCCTCGGGCAATGCAACCTTTTCTGATGTTTTCCTGCTTTGTAAAGCTAAAGTAGCTCACTTCCCAAATACCTGCTGGCCTTTCCTTGTAGATTCATTGCTTGGTTTCCTGTTCATAGTTGCTAAGGTAAACTTCTCTTCCAAAGCTGCTGTTGAGGTCAGCTGGGTTTCAAGGACACCCTTTGTGACCCCACAAGAGAGAAAGGGCAGACAGACATCTGGACAGCGGTTTCAGATAATGTCAGCCTGTTGACATTGGAGATTGCTTCCTGGCATGTACGCTCCCTTTGCTGGCCTCATGCTTTGTAATCTGTTATCCCTACTTCGCAGTGTTAGCCAGGATGGGAGGATAGTTTTCCTTTAGTCAGGGGCATTCCAGAGAGCTCAGCAATGTCGACCGTGTATTTATTGCTGATCTTGGCACTTTGGCACGCCTCAAAATTGGAAGCTAAGAAAACTATAGCTGTCTTTAATCTGGAAATGTCACATGCTGAAATGTTTTCTGAAACCTTCCCACAAACTCTGCATTCCACAAGGGCAAGGAGTTGGGCCTTTTAACAACTCTCTGTGTATCTTGGTGTAGCGGGGAAATTCAGAAAACGCTAACAGTACATGAGAAAATATGTGAAAATAACAAGCGTGGTACAAGTCACTAGGGAAACCCAGACTCCTATCTTCTTTCCTAGACGCCAGTTTAGGAATAAGGGTAAGTTGAGTGATCATTATGAAATTCGAACTTGATACAAGATCTCCATAGTGAAAAGGATTTTAATACATCCTTTGTATATAAAAATGAGATCAGCTGGGCACTGGTGGATCACACCTGTAATCCTAGCCACCCAGGAAGCTGAGATCTAAGGATCACTGGCTGAAGCCAAGGTGGGAAGGACCATTTGTGAAACTCTTATCTCCAAGTACACTCCAAAATCTACAAGTAGAACTGGAAGTGGCTCAAGTCGTGGAGTGCTAGCCTTGAGTACAAATGATCAGGGACAGTGCCCAGACCCTGAGTTCAAGCCCCAGGATCAGCACAAAAAAATGATTAAGAAAATTTACTCATTTATTTACAAATATAGGGTTACATATCTACTAAGAGACAAGCAGATATGGCTGCCTTCTGTGTTGAAATTTAAGCCCTTGCCTGCTTAAATTCCTAGTAGGGAATACGGACAAGTAATTCAACAGGTAAATATTAACGAATAATACTGATACATAAAAAGGCTTCCAGAAGAAACATCCAACCATGTTTAGAGTGGAAGTTAGCAAGGCAGCCTGGAAAAAGCAGGATATAAACAATGCTGCCATGTATGGTTGTGTGCCTTGTGCAAGGCAGAGTTATACATGGTGGTCAGGCTGAGCTACTATTAATCAAGAATAGATCGTGTTACCAAGCATGCAGGAAGTAGTGGGGTGAGATGTATAAGGAAAGGAGATGAAATAATATTCTAGCTAAAGGATGCAGCATATAGAAAGGTCTAGAAGCAGTGGAGAAACTGAAACCTTACCTTAGAGGAACTAAAAGAACTTTTGTGGCTTCATTAATAAAGGATGTGGTTATATATGAGCACACTACCTGTGCTTTATAAATAGAGGTCTGAAGGGATTTACACACACACCCCACAGGCCTGCTCAGCTATAAAGCAAAATGAACATGTTGGCATAATAGAACTGGAGCGGAGATTAGATTATAATGAGGTAAGATTGAAACAGGAAGATCTTATGAAGGCTATTGCCATAATCCAGACAAAAAATGGATTTACTTGGTTCAATGTGGGAACCCTGGTGGAGTCGATGACTTTGAGAGAAATCTATACCTTAAACCAGGACTTGGGAGACCGAGGGAGTTTGGTTTGGGGGGGAATCGGTGCAGATCTGGAGATTGCTTGGTTGTTCACTGGGTATTTACGGTTCCATTCATTTCCAAATTGAAAAGAGTCAACTGGGAGGAAAAACCAGTGAGTTCAAGTGTGTGTGGCCTATCTAAGTGGAGATGCTCCCCCCAAACAAATTAGATATAAGTGTCTTGCAGTAAATAAGAGATCGGGTCAGAGAGAAAGACTTGGGACTTACCTCTGCCTACATAAAGCTGAAAGTCAGAGAGTGAGTTCGGTCATTTGCACACCCGTAACAGGTTAAAAAAAAAACAACAAATAAAAATAGCTGGAATTGAGATGTATTTTTCTTTCATAAATGAAAAATGCAGAAGCAGAAAGTGAAGACTGGTTAGAAGACTCCATAGTATGACCCAGCTTCAATTTCTCCGTACTATCCACAGTGACAGCTCACATCCTCAAGAATGCTTCCTAGGTCAACTATGCCAGTTTGCCCATGTCCAAGGGAACTCACAAGATACAGAACGTTCCACTTTAAAACCAGGAAGACACGACTATTTCGGCTGATTTGATCATCCTAATCACCTCCTGATCTTAAGATGACCCTCCAGCTCTGCCATAGTACAAAGAAAGAAGGAAAGCCAGCAAAAAGAACAGGCCCCCTCACCCCATCCAGTAATCCACCACCACTAAACACAAAGGGAGAGCAGCAGTATTATTTTCCTAAACTAAAGACATTGATGATCCCAGTCAAAGAGGGTTTTCTTAACAGGACAGAATGGATATTAGGTATGCAGTTAGTAGATATGTATCAGAGGAAGACTCATCAGAGTAGAGGATCAAGACCCAGTCTCAGTGAACTAGAAAGGAGGATAGAGAATGCTGAGTCCTAGAAGGAGCAGACCAGAGTAATAACAAAACTATTGGAGCAAATAATCAAAGGACAAGGAGGAAAAGAGCACTCCAAGATCAAAGGAGGCTCCTCCAGTGGATATTGCCCCTGTGTGGTTTTACAAATGAGAGCCTTTTGTAAGAATCTCCCCTCAGAAAAGTTAGCCCCCTCAGCGATGGAAGAAGTCACTAAGTACATCAGAGGAAGAAGGCCAATATAGTCTAGTGTTTGTGGCTGTGTCTAGGATCAGAATGGACCTCAGATTACCCCTGCTCATGTGCAGTAACTGTCCAGTCCAAGAACGCCATGGTGTCAGCAAGCCTCCCAGTTTTCTTCCCTGTTTAACCATAAGGGCAAAGCAACTCTTTTGGTAGTATCGTTGTCTATCAAGGCCCTTTCTAGCTTCTACAAGGCAAGGTTCTTCAGAATTTCCAGGCCTGGGCAAAACACTGGGACTAATCACGAGCAAAGCACATTTTTATTTATAAACGACATTGGAAGGAAAGGAATTTTCTGTGTGTCTCTTGAAGATAAGCATTGTTTTAATAATGACTGGAAGCTTCATGAAGTTCCCAAGCCAAAAGATACTATTTAGGATCCTAGGAACACAGAAGTGAACTTGTACATGGAGAGAGAGTTTAACCACCTCCATAGCCCTGCGTTGGAATCGCACAGGAACTTATATGCTGTCACGTTATGCTGTTCTTTAAATGCAGGCTTTCTTTCTTTCCTGAAGCTAGGCTATATTTGAAATGCCCCACATGAGAGATGTTTGCTCTACTAAGAAGAAGTCCAGTCTAGGAGGGGTTTCTTACCACTGGGAACCAAAATAGGACAGCAAGATCTGGCTGCTGCTTCTCAATTATAGATTGTTCGGCCTGTCACACTTCCGGTAGGGCCTGGGTATAAAAAAGCACTGCAAAGCAACCATCAACCTCAGTACAACCTCTCCTCAGGAGAGTCAGATTGAAGACTTCTTAAACCTCACTCATCTCCTCAGCCTCAGAAACAAATCTGAAGCCAAGGTTTCATGAACTTGGATTGAATGAGAATGAGAAGTCTCTTGCGTCTGGCAGGCATGGCCATAAAAGAGAGAAGAGAAAGTATTCCTCTTAAAAAAAAAAACAGCAAACAACAGCACAAAACAAAACAAAAAAACATGTTTACTGAGAAAGATCATGTCTGCCTTGAAAAACCCATGGAGCGATCCTTTCTAACACAGTGGAGTGATGGGAAATCTGGTCTATGGTGGATGAGATGAGGTATTGTGCTGCTAGCCAGCCCCTAGGAGTCCAGGGTCTTTGTTGAAATGGGCTGCCCATGAGAGGCATCATGCTTTCTGTTCAGTGTAAGGTAGCTCATACTTATTAAGTCACTGGACTGACATTCCACACTGCACCTTGCACATTAGGCTGATACCTGGGGGCCCCCGAGCTGCCAATGATGGCCCCCAAACCCACCACTTCCATGTTGACTTACTCCTTCTCACCTTATTTGCAGAGATATATTTCTGGAGCCCAAGACTATAAGGTATCTCTGAAAACCAAGGGGCAGGTGCTGCGACCTCGACCTGGTAATTCATTTCATGAATTCCTTTTCCTGATATGAGAAATGGCGCTTCCACCACGTAGGACCATTGGATAGGAAGAAAGCCAAGAACTTGCATTAAGAATCTCCTGCTCAGAATGCAATGTGCAGTAGTTCCTTTGGAATCATAACCAACGATTTCCTTTATTCTTTTGTTGTGGATCCTTGGCCCCTGAGCCTCTTTGGGCTCAAGGCTAGCACTCTGCCACTTGAGCCACAGCAACACTTCTGGCTTTTTCTGAGTAGTTTATGGACCAGGCTAGCTTTGAGCTGTGATCCTCACATCTCAGCCTCCCGAATATCTAGGATTGTAGACCTGAGCCAACAGTGCCCAGCTCAAAGATTTCTTTTTCAAAAACTATTTTTATTTTCTTTAAAGTAGTCCTACAAAGGAGTTTCCATTCACAGAAGCAGTTTATGAGATGAGAGATGCATTATTGAAAGCTATGTTCATTTTCATGTGATTAAAGTAGTCAGTTTTCTAGTTAGTGATCTATTAAATAGCATAGGATAATAGTGAGATTAAGGGCTTCAAGCAGAAGGTAAGAATATGACACTCATTTTACCAATAAAGATATTTCAGGCAATAGAACTAGTTTTCCCAAAGTGACTTCATTTCTCCAAGTTGTGGATGGAGTTTGAACCAATACTTGGCTGACATATAACCACATGGCATAGCCCCTCCGCACCCTTCCAGGCAGGATGTAATTCAGGAAATCCGATCCTAAGGGGTCCAGGAAATTAGGGGGAAAGATCCTAGCCGGAGGCCAAGGGCTGGAAATCAGCCCTGGAAAGGAAGTTGAAAAAAGAAAGAGGAAGAGGAGGAGGAAAAGGAGAAAGAGGAGGAGGAGGAGGAGGAGGGGGAGGGGGAGGAGGGAAGGAGGGGAAGGAGGAAGAGAAGGAGGGGGAGGAGGAAGAGAAGGAGGGGGAGGAGGAAGAGAAGGAGGGGGAGGAGGGGGAAGAGGGGGAGGAGGGGGAAGAGGGGGAGGAGGAGCCTTTGTCTTGGTTAGCAGTGGTAAGAAGTAACCAGTAGAAAGTCTTAGGCACTATCCTCAGACCTGGGTTACAAAGTGTGAGCCTGATTCATACCAGGAGTAAAAATGCAGGATTCCACATGAGATCATCTAGGGTAGGATCCAGGGCTTAGCTGTCAAAACATATCCTGATTATGGGTCACTGAGAGGTGCTTCATACCAGACAGGACATTGGTATAGATTTTTTAACACCAAAGGATCAATTAAAGTAAAAGGAATAAAAACAGTTATAATATCAGCATTGAAAAGATGCTGTTCATCTGCTACTTGAGTGAATGCCTACTCTGATCCACACTAGAAAACAGGAAGAGGGAAAGATGACCTTTTCACTGCCTCTGGATGAACTGAAGGGTGACAAGAACAGAAATAATTAACATGGCAATTTACAAAGCAGGCTAGCTACCATGTATCCTGTCCTTAGGCCCTCACCACAACCCTATAGGTACCAATTCATGTCTCATGAGAGGTTTACTTCCTAAAATGAGGACAGAAGGTGCAAGAGTTGTGTGCTGTAAAAAGTGCCCTAGAAAATTCCTCAGGTCATACCTAGAATGCATATGGTTTCCCACATGTTAAAATGCCGTGTGTGTTTTATGAACAATGCAGCCACCGTGTCTCTCGGGGTTGTGATCCATATTTTCTTTAGAAGGTAATGAGATAGGCTTCCGGGGGAAAACACGTCAGCCTGAGCAGGGCCTGGACTAATTGCAGTCGGTTTGTTGTTTCCTGATTATAACGAGTGCTTTTCCAAATGCTGGATGTGTGTGTGATGGAGTCTATTCTGTTATAGTAGCCATTTTGCAGAAAAGAAACGAATAATCCAATTCATCTAAGCATGACAAAGTCTTAACCTGTGCAATGCTATACATTCAAAACCTTGGATGGGCTCAGAATTTTTTTTAAATCTTATTTTCCTGGAAACAAGAAAGATTTTCCTTTCATTGTTTTCTAGAGCCTGTGTGAGAAAAGACTTGTTCAGACCCCGGGGCAGATGGAATCTTTCCTTTTGGGCAAAATGATTTAATTATTGTCCCTGATTGCTCAATTAATTAAAAAAAACTATCTGTTTGGATGTGTATGGCCGTAAAGATTTTTATCCTTTCCAATAAATGTATCATCAATCAGTTCAGATTCCCTTTAGCAGCTGCGTTTGAAGTGAATCCTTCCCTTTCCTCCAGACTCCATGTGTTCACAGTGGAGTTGGGAATCTTCTCAGCTGGATCCAGATGTGAGCTATATGCAATCCCTGTGTGATTCTAGTCATGTTTTGTCTTTCTATTATATATGTTTAATGTCTCTGTCTACTCTCATTGGTTAAGATGATGGGGGAAAGGACTGACATCAGGAACATGGTATAATAAAGACTAGAAAATCCTTTCCCTTAAACAATGGCAAGATGGTGAAAAGCAACTTTTCATTTACTTTTTTTTTCTTTTTCTTTTCTTTTTCTTTTTTTTCCTTCTAGTTGTAGGGCTTGAGCTCAGGGTCTAGTCACTGTCCCAAAGGCATTTTTCCCTCAAGGCTGGTACTCTAACATTTTGACTCACACCTCTACTCTTAGCTTTTTTTTTCTACTTAGAGATAAGAGTATCAAGGACTTCCTTGCTCAAACTGGCTTTCAAACTGCAATCTTGGTATTTCAGACTCCTGAGTAGTTTGGATTACAGGCATGAGCTACTGGAATCTGGCAGAAAATCAACTTTATTTTTTTTTAAACTCTGGGTCTGGGCACTGTCCCTGAGCTTCTTTTGCTCAAAGCTAGTGCTCTACCATTTCAATCACAGCACTACTTCTGGCTTTTTTTTTTTAGTAGTTTATTAGAGATAAGAGTCTCACAGAATTTCCTGCCTGGGCTGGCTTCAAACCATGATCTTTCGATTTCAGCCTCCTGAGTATCTTGGATTACAGGCATAAGCCACTGGCACCCAGCTCCCAGATTGAGCTTTTGCTGTCATTGTTTTCTACCCTGTAATGCAAGGACTCAAACTCAAGGTCGCTCACAGGTCAGGCAAGCATTTTCCACTGAGGATCGTCTCCAGCTCCAATATTATGTCTTTGTTTCAGGTAGAGCCCTCCAAAAAGGAACCAATATTTATTTATTTGGTTGATTGTTTATTTAGGCTTGAACTCAGAGCCTTCAGCTCTTGCTCAGTTTTTTTTTTCACTCCAGACTAGCATTCTACCACTTGAGCAATCCCTCCACTTCCATCTTTTTGCTGGTTAACTAGAGGTTAACCAGAAATCAGCATCCCAAATCTTTTCTGCCCAGGTTAGCTTGGAACCATAATCTTCTGATCTCAGCCTCCCAAGTACCTGGAATTACAGGCTCTGCCACCAGCTGGCCTCTAACTCTGATCCTCCTGCTTCATCCTTCAGAATGATGAAATTTCAGGCCTGTTCCATCATGACCAGTTTAAGGAACTAGCTTTAACTATTCCTAAACTACCCAGTCCCTCTTCTAGGTGATCCAGAGTGAAGTTTGCTTATTATAATTTCATTATAATGCCAAATTCTCTTCCAGAAAATCAAATTTTTAAGCCTCTGAAAATCAAAGACTTGCAACACCAGGGAATTAAAACATACACCTACAGGAAAACTTATATATTGATGCTCGTAATAGCATTATGATTCATAGTAGCAGAAAGATGAAACAATCCAAATTTCCATCAAGTGGTGAGTGGATAAATAAATAATGGCATATCTATAAAACAGAATATTCTTCAGGCCCAAGATTACTCTTATATGAAATGTAATACATGCTGTAATATGGATGACCCTTGAAAACATTCTAAGAGAAAGAAGCCAGTCACAAAAGAGACATAGATTATATGAGGATATGTCTAGAAAAGACAAATCCATACAGACAAAGTAGATTGATCGTTTCTAGAGGATGGGGACAGGGAAATGAAAAATGTCTATCAATGACACTTGGTGTCTGCACAACTTTGTAAATAGACTGAAACTATTGAACTGTACCAGGCACCAGTGGTTCATGCCTATAATCATAGTTACTCAAGAGGTGGAGATAGGAAGTTTGTGATTCAAAGCCGGCCTAAGCATAAAAAGTCCATGAGGCTCTTATCTCTGATTATACCACCAAAAAGCCAGAAGTGAAGCTGTGGCTCAGTGGTAGAGCGGAAAAAGCCAAGCAAGGGCCTAAGACCTTGAGTTTAAGACTGGCACATGAAAGAGGAAAAATCACTAGTGAATTGTATAGAATGGGTGCATTTTAGGCATGTGAATGATTTCTAAGGAACACTTATTGATGCCAATCTCATGAGGATAGAATAAATGAAATATTTCACTCTAATTTGGTCTTTGGTAAAAATAATTCTCTTTAATAAAGTAAGGAGAACGGATTTGCAAAGTTGTTTTAGAACAGTAATTTAATTGGACACTGCATGGGGAAAGTTGAATCCTTGAATATGAATACTTTGCTCTTCTGCATTCACTCTAAACTGTTTTCAAATTATGTCATGTCCTTTCTAGCTCAGAGTAACTGTAACATGACCACAAAATGCATGCTTGCATTGAGACCAAAAGTGGGGGTTACCAATAGTATGGGTTCAAATGCCAATGTAGACTGATGAGCTGGGGCTGTAGAGACCCTATATTTAGTGGTAGCCACCGCTGCTCTAGGCCAGGCATGAAAAGTATATATTTATCTGGAACTTGGCAGTTGTAGTAAAAAGTAGTTAGCACTGGCGCTGGTTAATTGAACTAAGAAAAGTGTACTCGTTTACTAAGTAAATACAAAATCAGTTGGGTTAATAAGCCTTTGGATGCCCTGTGGTGCAGCCTCTAGACACATTCGCAGGCAAGTCTTTAAAAAAAAAAACAGAATTTCTGGTGTATAATTTAAATGCGGCATCCCCCATACCCATCAGCACCACCCAGACCGACTGGCTAAAAGGAGAACACTCTCTGTTTGAGTATGCCCTCAAAGTGACCACCCCAACTCAAATTTGAGAACAACTGCTTCAAGATGAGTTGTTCCCTTTGGGAGTAGGCCATGAATGGAAGGTTGGGGAGACACTGGGACATGCAAGAATCGAGTCTCCATGACAGCAAAATCAGCATTTGCTGTGAAGATCGATGCGATTCCCTAGGATCTTTCTTTCTTTCCCTTGTTGCGCCCCTTCCTGACTCTCTTACTTCCTCAGAAATGATGGGAAGTGCTTTCTGCGTCTTCCCCATCCATCACCACCCCGTCTCCATCATTCCGCACTCCCAGCCTGTTCGGACCTCCTTCTTCTGCATCAGTAGCAGAGTGGGGAAAAGAAGGTGGAGCACATTCCCTCAGTGGCAATTCAACAATCCGTTGGCATCTGGGGCCCCCAGCTTAATGCTTTGAAACCCCAATGGGTCTCCAAACTTGCAAACACACATGTCACACTTAGAACAGCGCAGGCTCCTCCTGAGTGCCGCCAGCAGGCAGCAGGTGTTGATGGTAGCCGTGGTTGCAAGGGTCAGACTTTCTCACAGGGAGTTGCCTGAGTTGGCTCTGGAAGCAGTTAGTGTTTGTACCCGCGGGGTGGCTCCTATGTTCAGAAGATGGCCATCTGGAGACCAATCTCAAGCCTGAACCCCGCTCAGAGTGAGCAGATCTCCCTGAAGACCATGGCACACGTGCATCCTACGTGGGAGGCTGGTCCTCGCTGAGCTGGCCTCTGCTGCTCTCTTGTACTGATCATAGAGGCTGGTATAGGAAGTCAGGTGGCTAGAGTGTTGATTGGAAGGCTCTTGTCGATATTAGTAGAGTTCAAAGAGAGGATGGAGGAGGGAAGGGAAATAGAGAAGGATAGAGAAAGGGAAAGGAAGCGGAGAAAGGGAATAGGAAGGAGGGGGAAGGAGAGGAGGGGATGGCGGAGGATATAATGTGTGCTATGCCACAGCTTTCCACCCCTATGCAACCGTGTTTTGTACATGCTTCTCCATTGAGCTATCAGAACTGGGCAGTCTGGCTCTGGAAGAGTCTAGGGAGAGACACTTTATTTCTACATTTTAAAAGATAGACTTCACTCGGAACTATTTCAGCCTAGGCCTCAGGACCAGGCTGAGAAAACCACATAGACTCAGTTTACCACGAGGATCTCAGATAAAGGCACATGAACTCATTAAGCATGTGGGGCGCTGGGAGGGGAGAGAGTGGAGTCCACCAAGTCACTTGGTCTCCAGTCTGGGGAGAAGCCCCCCCAGGATCAGTATCCCCGAGCCAGGAACCACCCCCTCCCTGACCCACAGGGAGACAGGTGCAAAGTGTTAAGCAGACCTGCCATGAGGTAATGAAATCCAGTAGGCACTTGAACTCAGGGTCAGGACTAACGGGAAGTGATGGATTGGAGACGAGCTGGGGAGCACATGCCTCTGAATGGCACCGTACTCAGCATCCAGCTGCTCCTGTCATGTGGAAAAGTGGCCCCTGACCACCCCATCATTGAATGTCGGGGATCCTGTGTGCAGGCTGAGCTGGGCTGCCTGCAGATCTAACAGACCCGAGCTGTGGCTTTTCCCAAGTCGCATGCACACAAGATGGATGGATCCCTTCCTTGTGTTCTTTTCTCTCTCCAGGCCATTATGTTTATGTGGACACCTCCTTTGCCAAACCAGGGGAGAAAGCCGTGCTGCTCAGCTCTGACTTACAGGCGGAGGAATGGAGCTGTCTCCGCCTGGTCTATCAGATAGCCGCGTCCTCGGGGGCTCTGTCAGATTCCAGCCAGCTGAGCCTCCATGTGAGATTTGAAGATGAAACTTTTGATCGCTTGCTTTGGTCCACCAAGGAGCCCTCAGACAGCTGGCTCATCGTCAGCCTGGATCTGCAAGACAGTCCCAAGAAATTCAAAGTAAGTAGAGTTTCGGTCGAAGAGACAAAGCACATGAGATGCATTTTGTGCTAGCTGAGATCTTAAACTATGTGAGTTTCTTCTATTTAGGTTCGTTATATCGTCGAAGATCATTACTAAAATGTAAATTCATCTGTTGTTTATTCTTCAAGAAAGTGCTATTTAAATGAGACTTCTGTAAGAATTTAAATTCTGTATGGATTTAATTGGAAGTGGATTTTGTAATGGGTTTGCTGGCATATTCTTATTTCATATGATTGCCTTCATCCTTCTTTGACTGTGTGGTAGGTGTATAGATGATCATCCTTGTGGTTTAATAGCGACAAAATTTGGGTGAGCCATTTTAATAAAAGGAGGAAATGGAAAGTACTTAGAAAGAGAGAAAAGAAATTTACAGGACATGTCCTGTGATTGTGTAAAGAGTTGAGTGCACACAGAAGCAGGAAAAGACACTGGAACTCTACACAGTTGGCCATGAAGTGAAATTTACTGAGAATGTGTCACGGAAAGTTGAGCGAGCCTTCGTGAAGACTTCTCCAGTCCTAGGGTCCCTCTACATCCCCAGCTTGTGCTTGGTCTCCTTTGAAAAGTTATGAGAACATATATATTCTCCTCCCAGTGTTGTTTGCTTGGGGTCCTCCTCACTGAGGGGGAAATGATTGGGGGGGAGAGGTCTGAGTTTCTTATTTCACATCATCTTCCCAATGGTGATCATATCCCAAATGCGCCAACATAGTTGTCAAAAATGTAAGGTTAAAACTTATAGAAGGGAAAGCTGTTCATTCCGGAAACGGGGCCCCTAAAAATACATGATCATATTTCTTGAAATTGGGAACTCGAGGTTTTAATTCTTCTCTATCTCTTCCTCCTGGTGTAAAATTCTCATTCCTTCATCAATGCAGAAACTGTAACATGTTCTATCATCCATGAGCCCTCTCCGTTTTAGATGGAAAGCTTACTGTCAGATTTGGACTTTCTACTTTTTCCACACACAGTCCCCTATCCTCCAGGTTCTCCGCCCTCCCTTCTTGATCATGCTTAGCATGGGTTTCCCCAGGGATGCAAACTGGCTTCTCCACATGACCAGTCAGTGCTACCATAAGCCAAGAGGAGGTGATGATTGGGATAGCAGAGATGGCTGGTTCTGAGATGCTATCAGACACATTGCTAACTTCCAATTTCTGAGTACGTTTTAGTACACACACACACACATGCATGCATGCGTGCACGTGAGGGCACATGCATGTGTGTATTCATATACTCTGGTTATAAAATCCATAGTGAAATTTTGCCCAGATGCAATGAGCCCATTGCAACTCTGCAGACCTTGAATTGCCCATCTAACAGCCACAGTCCCGAACAGGGAACAAAATACTTTGATATCTAACTGTCCTTCTTCTCCCTGTGTTGTGCAGATTTTAGTAGAGGGTGTCCTAGGACGGGGAAACTCAGCCAGCATTGCCCTCTTTGAAATCAAGATGACAACCGGCTACTGCATCGGTGAGTCTTACTTTCACTCCACTAGAAAACAAACGTTTCTTGAGACACCGGTAGTTGGAAAGCATTGACCCAGTCCTAAAGACCAGCTATGTCATAGAGCACTGGGCATAATTCATAGCTGGTTCAATTCTTTGGTAGCAGACCTTGGAGGCTTAACCTGGCTTCCCTGACTTTGCTCATTGGCCTTCACGTGGACCAACTGGATTCAGGAAAAGCAAGTCCGTGCAAAGACTGTCACCTCAATATTTCCACCTGGTTTCAATACGTTCTCACAAAAATACTTTCTGGGGCTGGGTATAGTGGCTCGTGTCTGTAAACTCGACAGTGGGGACGCTGAGGCAGAAGGATTCCAAATTTGACGCAACATTCTGAGCTGCCTAGGGAGAGACTGTCTCAAAAAGCCATCCCTATCCACAAATAGTACTAGATTTGCTGTAAATTCTTGTGTGTGTGTGTGTGTTTTCCCAGAAAAATTGGCATCGTTTTTGCCTCTTTGTCCTCCATTTCTCTCCCCGTAAACTATTACCCCTGTCTGAATCGTCACAGCTGCCACTGAGATTCCACCAGGCTGGTCGAACTTCTGCAGGTGGTATTCCACCTGCAATGCTTGGAATGGGATCCACGTGTACCCGTTAGTTGCAGCTGAGCAGCGCCCCCTGTTGGCTCAGCCAACTCATTGCAATTCTCAGCTTCTATTTCTCACCTGTAAAATGGGGTTAAAATGCTTCCCTCATTGGATTCTTCTGCAAGTTAATGTGATCATGGATATGAATGTAACTGGAAACATATGAAGGTAGCTGGGAGTCATATATGCCAGCTTCTGAGAACCCAGGAAGAGAAGACACTTCTGCCCTGTGGATGTTCAGCCTGGACTTGTTTGCCACTGACAAAACAATCTCTGAACTCCATAAATACTTCCAGGGGAGGTGTAAAGAGGAAGAAAAAGGTTGGCTGTGCAGAATCCTAGAGAGGAAGTGTAGAGCTGTCCAGAGTGAGACAAGTGTGAAAGAGAATCGGTACTTGGCAGGGAGTTCCTCCAGAAAGAGCCTGGATCCAGGGAAATGAGCCCCAACTTACTGAATTCGATGTTTGGGAGGTGCTATAAATCAGGGGAGGGGCCTGTGGTTTTCAGATGATGGCATTTCTGACTGCCACTTTGAAAATGAGCCGGAGACAAAGCCCGTACATAGGTATGAGCTAGAAAATCCCAAGGAAGAGGCTATGGCCTTCCATAGGGGGTGAGCAGTACAAAAGGAACAGATCAGCAGATCTGAGAGACTTGGAAGACTTGGATGTGGAGGGAGAGAGTAAAAAGTCAAAGATGCTTCTCAAAGAAAAGAAGCCTTTGCTAATTTCCTTGCGACCCAAGTCCCCGATTGACCTTCCAAAGACATCTGTTATGCAAGGGAAGGAAAATAGACTGGGAAAGTATTTTCTAAAGATACGGCGAGGTTAGGCCAGGTTCTTCCTTAGAACTTCTCTGTAGTTGGTATTCCACGTGCAGTGCTTGGAACCTGGTCAAAATGAACCAGTCAGGTGCATCTGCATGGCGCCCCAGTTGCATCTGCATGGCGCCCCCTGTTGGCTCAATCAGCTCATTGCACCTTGGGGCTTCTGTTTAATCACCTGTAAAATGGGGATAAAATGCTTCCCTCACTGGAATATTGTGCAAATTCATGAGAACATGAATATGAAGGCCACTAGGAAAATGCTTGGCACTCAAGAAATGTGAATTATGTTAATCATCTTTCTTCTTTCGGTTTGTTTTTAAGAGGGAGATGGCAATATTTTACCTTGTTAAACTGTAAAATCACACTCTCTCCTTTGTTGATCTATATAAAATGCTTAGAATTCTGCCCACTACCCTGAAGAATATTTCCTTTTCTTTTTATGATACTCCGTGGCAGCCTGAGGCACTGAATATTGGGCACAGGTTGGCAGACTGTGCAGTGGAAAAGTTGAAAGTCAGTCTTAAAAATCCTTGCTAATGAAAAAACACGCTGACAACTATAGCAGCTAGGGACCTGGCAGGGAAGAGGGAAGATGGGGAAACTTGGCCTCAGTGATTTAAAATAAGCTCATCAAAGAGATCACAAAGTGGGAAAAGCCAGCAGCAAGGGATGGGTTGTGACCCAGGACTCAAACAGAGATGGCTCAGAAGCTGTTTCCTGCTTCCATCCATAGATCTTCAGCTGTATGGTGAGGGCTTCCTCAAGTAGGCTGTGGTATGTAAATCATGTCTGGACACAGCCAATCACAGCAACTTAGCAGGGAGGAGTTGGGGGATTCAGCTTTCACAAGCCTTCCAGCCACTGTTAGTGGAATTCCACAGCAAGTCAGAGAACCCCATTGGTCCAGTCCAGATAAATCAACCTCTAGAGGGTGGGACAGGCAGAGAAGGACAGAATTGAAATTATCTTTCATGATTGTTTGTTTGTTGTTGTTTGGGGAGTTGTTTGTGGTTACATTAAGGGCCTTACACTTGAGGCAGGCACTCTACCAACTGAGCCATACCTCCATCCCTTTCTATTTTAGTTGGCTCCTGCTAACATTTCATCTGGCTGGCTTTGAACCTCAATCTTCCCTATCACATAGTTTAACAAGATCAAATAACTGAAGCATGAACCAATGAATGCTGCCGTCTTATATGTTTTAATTGCAAGATTATGGGGGGCAACAGAAGGACCCAGAAACCTGGGTTATGCCTCTCCTTCTATTGTGACTAGATGCTTCTTTATAAGAAAAGCAGGACTGGGTACTGGTGGATCGAGCCTATAATCCTAGCTACTCAGGACGCTGAGATCTGAGGATCATGGTTCAAAGGCAGCCAAAGCAGGAAAGTCCATGAGACTCCTATCTCCAATTAACCACACACACACAAAAAAAGCAAACAAGCTGGAAGTGGAGCTGTTGCTCAAGTGGCAGAGTGCTAGCCTTGAGCACAGAAGTGTCCAGGCTTGAAATCAGGTTCAAGCCCCAGAACTGTCTCATACACACACACAGACACACACACAAACACACACACACACACACACACACACACACACTTAAAAAAAAGGCTATGTGCATCTGATCATAGAAAATAATATTTATTGAAATGAACTTCAGGAAATGGAAACAAGAAGTTTTTTATTTGTTTGTTTATTTTTGTTGTTGTTTGTTGTGGGGCTTGAACTCTGGGCCTGGGCGCTGTCCCTCAGCACTTCAGCTCAAGGCGAGCACTCTACCACTTGAGCCACAGCACCACTTCCAGTTTTCTGGCATTTTATTGGAGATAAGAGTCTCACGGACTTTCCTGCCCGGGCTGGCTTTGAATAGAGATCCTCAGATCTCAGCCTCCTGAGTAGCTAGGATTACAGGTGTGAGCCACCGGCACCTGCCCACAAGAAGTTTGTTTGTTTGTTTATCATTGCTGTTCTCATTTTTCTTTCTTTTTGTTTGTCTGTCTTTGGGAGGGTAAGGGGAGGCACAGAAGTGGAGGGACAGAGGGTGAACAAACGCAGCAGGGGTACTCACTAGACACTATGTTGTAAGTGCACTACACAACTTGTGGGTGGGGATGGGAGGGAAAAACTGAGAGAGAGGGAGTGAGGAAGTGTTCAAAAAATGCCCTCTTTACCTGACTTATGAAACAGTAACCCCTCTGTAGATCCCCTTTAAAAACAATTTTAAAAGAAAAAGGGGCAGGGAGTGAGATTAGCATCTAGAAAACTAGCTCTTCCGCTCTCAATATTTTCCACCATCAGGAAAGGAAAGGATGGAGGACGGACCATCAAGTTAAAGAAAGTGGGTGGACAAGATTTCTGGAGCTGAGCCAAGCATCAGTGGCTCATGCCTATAATCCAGGAGGCTTAGATTTGAGGATTGTGGTTCAAAGCCAGCCCAAGTGGGAAAGTCTATGAAACTCTTATCTCCAATAAACCAGGAAAAAAAACTGGAAGTGGTGCTGTGGCTCAAGTGATAGTGCACTAGCCTTGAGCTGAAGAGCTGAGGGACAGCGCCCAGGCCCAGAGTTCAAGCTCCATGACCAACTGAAAAAAAAAAAGCAATTCTGGAGCTGAGAGGCATTAAAATAAGAATGCGTGCAGCTCAGTGGCACAGCACATGCTTAAAATGTACAAGGCCCTGGTTTCAGTACCCCTCAAAAGTAATTAAATACAGATGACCAACAAAGTTGGGTGTGATGGCTCAAGCCTATAATCCTAACTACTTGGGAGGTAGAGATCAAGCAATCATGTTTGAGACCAGCCTAGGCATAAAAGTTCATCTCAACCAATGGCTGGGTGCTGTGGCACACACCTATCATCCCTGATGCCACAGAGAATCATAAGTAGGAGGATCACATTCCAATCGTTAGGAACTTACCATGTGGCCAGAGGCATGGCTCAGCAGGTAGAGCACTTACCTCGCTTGTACAAGGCCCTGTGTTTAATCTCTAGTATTGACCTCCCCCAAGAAAGATGAGTAAGGGCTGGGGGAAGTGGCTCAGTGGTAGAGCGCTTGCCTTGCATGCATGAGGCCCTGGGTTCAATTCCTCAGCACCACATAAGCAGAAAAAAAAAAAGATGAGTAACAAAAATGGTCAGTTTGTATCAAGCCTCCCCATGATTACAACAGCCCTGTGAGGTAAGAATGTTGTCCACATGTGAACATGGATGTTCACATACAGAGGCTAAGAGAGATGGTGAGCCACACAGCAAGTCTCATGGCTAGTAAGAGAAAGGACCACAATTGGAAAGGGGTGATGGTGATTAGGATGTTGCTTCATCATGATACAGAGCCCTCTGGGCATTCGCATACCACGTGAATCCTCCTTTGGTCTCAAAGGAGGATATTCTTAGGAGAGGAATACAAAGGCACAATGTTTATGTGCCTCTAATCCCATCAAATAATATTTATCTAAATGAACTCCAGGAAATGAAAACAAGAGAGTTTTATTTCCCCCTGCTGCTGTTTGTGTTTTCTTTTCTATTTTGTTTGTTTGGAGGCACAGAAATGGAGAGAGAGTAGTATTCACTAGACACTGTTGAAAGTGAACTCTGTGGGTAGGCATGGGCTGAAGAAACAAAGAGAACATAAAGGAGGGGGTGACATTGCCCCAAAAGAAATGGACTCTTTACCTGACTTATGGAACCATGACCCATCTCTACATCATTCCTGTAATAGCAATTAATAGCAATAAAATGTCCCCCCCTTAAGAAAGATCATTCATTACAGTATCTCTCTTCTTGGCCAATAGTAGCCAGGAGTCCTGGTCCAGATGTTCCTGGGGGCAAAGGAAGAGACGGTGTGAGGGTCTGACGGGGCGGTGGGCAAACTCTGCAGTGTGTGTGGTGGCTCCCAGTGTGGTGGAGGTCCCTGAAAGTATGCTTTGATTTCTTTCCCACTAGAATGCGACTTTGAGGAGAACCATCTCTGTGGCTTTGTGAACCGCTGGAACCCCAACGTGAACTGGTTTGTTGGAGGAGGAACGACTCGGAACACCCACTCCAACCTCCCAAAGGACCACACTTTCAAGAGTGAGCTGGGTGAGAGCTGGGAAACCTCGCAGAGGGGTGGGGGGAGGTCTTTTCTCAGCAGGAAGTCTACCCCTGGCCTTAATCTGACTGTGGCTTCTGTCCACAGAAAAGGGAGGGGAAAGGGACTGGTAGAAGGGACCAGAAGGCCTGGTGGCGAAGGAGGGAAAGATAGACAAGCGGGGGGGGGGGGCAAACTGCAGTTATGTGCTCCATCACTGAGAACCAGGACACCCACTTAAAGGTTTTACCTTAACTTGTGACTTGGGCTTGCTCAGCTCACATTTTCATGGTTGATCTTCTCATCGATGTATTGATTTATGGCTAAGACAAAGCTATAGTCATCCCAAGTTACTTCTCACTAAAAGCAGATGAAGTCTTTAAGACCTTCCCAGTTGACAAGTGAGGTAAGCCAAGCTTGATGGATTCTGAAAGTGGTGTGCAATGGGGCCCCCTGGCGGCCAAATAAGGTGGTTCTTTGCAAGGTACGTTGGAAGGTAAGATGGTCCTGGCCTCTAGGAGTCAGAGAAAGCCCCAGAAGGACCAGGGCAAAGACTTTCTTTTCTTACTCATCATTACTGCTTTTGCTTGGCCTCTCGTGGGACTTTGTACAAGCCTACCTCTCCCCATAATTGCAAACCATTCTAGTCTTCAGCTCCAAGTTCTTTTCCAAGAGCAAGAAGATTCTGGCGTTCTGGTTTGCCAATAAGAACAAGGCTAGGAGTTTTGGTTCTGCTTCACAAAGCATCTATTTTCTCTTTGGGGGCCTTTGCAATGTAGATACAGAGGTGGTCTTCTCAGTCCCAATCAATTAATGGTGATGGCAGCATGCACCTGTGCCTGAAAAAATCAAACAAGTTTTTCTAGCCCCTTATTTTTTTCTTCATTCTCTATGATTTCTTGTTATTTGCACTGTGTGTGTGTGTGTGTGTGTGTGTGTGTGTGTGTACACGTGCCTGTAATCCTAGCTATTCAGGAGGCTGAGATCTGAGGATTGCAATTTGAAGCCAGCATAGGCAGGAAAGGCATGAGACTCTTATCTCCCCTTAAAACCCACAAAAAAAAAGCCAGAAGTGGAGTTGAAACAATAGTGCACTAGCTTTGAGAGGAAAAAAATGCATAGGGACAGGGCCCAGAGCCTGAGTTTAAGTCTCAGGACCAGCAGCACAACAACCAAAAGAAAAACAGTTTAAAAAGGATTAAAAGATACAGGCATCAAGGTCTTCTTTGGTGAACACTAAGACCTGAGATCGGGGCCGTCCCTCCTACCACTGCACTTGTTTCTGTCCCCTTTCTGTTCCTTTCTCCCATCTCTCCCTCTCCATCTTCCCACCCTTTCTCTTCTCTGACTATTCCAACATACGTCCAAAGGCAGGCAGTGTTGCACACTAGCGTTTCCCAGATCCCTGAGCTCCAGTGAGCTCCAAAGACTCTAAAGTATTTTATTTAAGAAACTACATGCATGTGACTCAAAGATTTACCCACGGGCCAGGTGTAGTGACACAGAGCTGTAATCTCAGCTACTCTGTAAGCAGAGGAAAGAAAAGGTTGAGAACCAACCATCCTGAGCAAAAGTAAAAGTAAAAGCAAAAGTAAAAGAAAGGTTGTGATCCCATCAGCCCGAGCAAAAGTATGAGACCCTATCTGAAAAACAAAAGGAATATAGCCATGGCTCAAGTGGTAAGAGTGAATTCAGTTCCCAATACCACCAAAAGGAAAGGAAGAAGACTGAAAGGAAGAAGGGAGGGAAGGAAGGAAGGAAGGAAGAAAGGAAAAAGGAAGGAAAGAAGGAAGGAAGGAAGGAAGGAAGAAAGGAAGAAAGGAAGAAAGGAAAAAGGAAGGAAAGAAGGAAGGAAGGAAGGAAGGAAAAAGGAAGGAAAGAAGGAAGGAAGGAAGGAAGGAAGGAAGGAAGGAAGGGAGGGAGGGAGGAAGGGAGGGAGGAAAGGAGGGAGGAAGGGAGGGAGGGAGGAAGGGAGAAAGGAAGGAAGCTCTTACAAAGAAAATTTCCAATGCTCTAAACAAAAGGCAGAGATTGCCTCCTGTCTTTCCTTGGCTTTCATTGGGGCATATTGATTTTCCCTGAGCTCTATCAATTTAGATATAACGTAAAGATTAAATGGTTCAAATGTCTGCCTGCAGCAGCAGATTTTGTTCTCTATAAACTCATCTCATGTTCATTCATATACTAGAAGCAATGTAGGCCTTTACTTCCAGGCAAAACAGCACACACACACACACACACACACACACACACACACAACTAGAGACACACAGCAGAACCGTCTCTTACCTGGGGAGATTGGGGGGTTTCAGCCCCAGCTCAGAAATATTGGAGCTGCAGCCAAGATGGGGGAAGACCAGCGCTCTGGTCTTTGTGTTGTAGAGGAGGGAAAACAGAATGTAAATGCTGCAAACTACAATGGAGATATGAATTTTCTTTCATTTGCTGTGTGCTTTAATGGTTTAGTCCAAACACTGAGTCACAATTGTCAAATGTCCCCGAATTCAAGCAATAGAAACAGCTAACAGAGGATACAATAAAAGCTGTGGTGGGCTGTCTTTGTTGTACTATACGGCATGTGATTTTATTCTGTGTTTCTTTTTCTTACTTGTTTCTTACTTGTTGCAGGTGGTTTTATTCCTTATTAATATTTTATGAAGTGAAACAAAATCTAACTCAGATCATTACTGTTTTCTACATACCTTCGCCAAACAGAGAGGAGGACAGAGAGAGAGAGATAATTGCTGGAAAAATAATGAGGGAAACATCTCTTTGCTGAGATTTAATGCTAGCTGCTCAGGGTGACACTCTGGATACAGTTTCAAGACCTAAAATAAGAGCAGAATTCTTTTATGCCACCTACGACCATGAGTTCGACGAATCACGTGTCCATCACGCATGACACTCCTTTCTCCTTTTGGTTTGGGTTGAGTTCAGGGGTCATCTCACAGCACCTGTTCATTTGCTCTGTCACTGCATCTATTTGGGCCGTGGCATTAGCACTGAGTAGAGAAGCAGCTTTATTCTTTTCCTTCGCATTGCCTTTGTGCCAGCTCTGCAGCATCTCCTACCATGGCTTCCTAGTCATTTTCACATTCTGACAGACAGCCTCATTTTCGAGGATTAAGTTCAATCAAGTCACAGCTCCAGTGTCTCATCCAATTCAAATCTGGTCCACAGAGAAGCAGCAGAAGAGACCACGTTCTTACTTTGTCTCTTTCTGGACCTTTCCTTTTCTCTTCTCTTCCATCAGGATCCTTCAGGGTAGAAGAAGTGTCCTAAGCTTTGGAACTTAAGGAAAAGATGGACAAAAATAGTTTTACTTCCCTGGTGCTATTTAATCTGGTGTTGACTCCTTGCATAGTGAAGGTGGCAAATTCTGGCCACTGGAGAATGAAATTCTACTCTTCCACTCATTCCAGACAGACATGATGCTCTTCCTGGCAGGCCATCTCTGAACCCCCCTTGGCTCCTCTGAGTACAAGATTCCTCCAGTGGCCCTTTTCTATTGGTGCAGCAATGCTAGGAGAAAATCCTCCTGAGAAGAATCTTTCTCAGATACTATAGCCCAGCTACCTTCTAAGCTACAAAGTTTGGAAAAGTAGTTCATTAGCAACAGAAATTCCCTATAGTCAGCTTCTTTGTTTGTTTTTTCTGTTTTTTTTTTTTTCTGTGAGTGCTGATCATGAGGTTTGAACTGAGGGCCTTGAGCTCTTGCTTGGATTTTTTTTTTGGTTCCAAGCTGGTGCTCTACCAATTGGTCCCTACTTCCACTTCCAGCTTTTTGCTGGTTCATGGAAAATAACACAGCCTGGCTTCCAACTTCAATCTTCAGATCTCAGCCTCCCGAGTAGTTAAGATTATAGGCATGAGCCACCAGTATGATCAGCTGCAGTCAGCTTCTTCTTAGCTGTTGGCATTCAAATGCCAGGTACTACTACTACTACTAAATGCCTCTGTACTGTACAAACTCCAGTGTTCATTCATCAAGTTCATTGAAGAACTCTGGTCACCATCATGGTGAGGTCAACGGAGTTACAGAGCCTAGGATGCTCCGCACATTGGGTTGTGATAAGGTCAGAAGGATATTTCCCTTCTCCACTCCTCCATGAGTGGCTGTCTAGCCCACCCTCCCTCAACTAAGGTAAGAGAGGGGAATACAAGCCCTGTCTCTTCCCTTGAAAGGATAAAAGCCCACATACAACAAGTGCCATGCCATCCTAACTCCTCAGAGAAAGATTGTCTTCCATCTCAGGTCCATTTCTAGTATTCTCATGTCTGCAGACTAGAGGGGAGAGATGGGATCCATCTACCTCAAGTGCGGAACAGTACCACATACCACATTGATGACCTACTAGGAATCTTTACAGGATAAAAGATGCATGTCACCTATTGCTCTCAGTTTTGAGGTCCTAGCAGAGGTGAAGAGGAGTCTGCGTTACATAGCCTTTGGTGGCTGGGAGAAAATACCTGACAGGAAAGACTTATGTTGGCCCTTGTCTCAAGAGGTGTTAGTCCATGGTCTACTGGATCCATTTCTTTGGGCCTGAGATGAGGAAAACATCATGGCAGTAAGAATGTGTGGTAAAGACTTCTCATCTCATGGCAGCCAGGAAGCAGAGAGTAACGCCAAGACAAGGTACACCCTTCAAAGGCAGGCCATCAGTGGCCTATTTCCCCACCTCTTCTTTGGATTCTACCACCTCTTAATATTGCCATCAAATCATGAATCCATCCATGGATCAATCCACTGATTATAGATGAGAGCCCTTACTATCCAGTAATCTCTAAATCCCCACCTCTGAGTATTGCTCCTCTACCACAGATGAGTTGGACAGGGACATTCATACCCAAACCATACCAAAGTCCCACCATCACATTCATTTTCCATTTATGTCACCCTTGAAAGCTGTGGGGAAAAAGAAGACTAGAGTTAACTCTATTATTGTAAAAGCTGCCCAAACCCTTGTGAATTACATGGCGTTAGGAAAGCAGGCATGTTAACTTGCTGTCTTTGGGTGCTGTCTGCCCACCATGGTAGCACACCAGTAGGGATTTCCATGTGGTATACATATCTTCAGGACAAGAGACAGATCGTCCAGACAGCTGACAACACAGAAACAGACAACACAACTAGAAGACAGATGTGGTCAATGGGGCGGAATCCCGGCTGAGTCAGAGGCTGACTTTGGCATCAAGGCCAAGCCATGGGAAATCCTTGGGGAATACTACGTAGCCAAGCTGTTTGAAAATAAATGCTCAGGAGCTGCCTTTCAAGTTCCTTTTCCTAATCCAAGGTGGGAAGAAATGGCTGACTCCACAGAGCCAATGGTTCTGCTTGAAAAGTTGAGTGAATGCAGAGGCTGCTGCCCGGAAGAAGGAAATTCCTTCAGAAGTAAATGCTCACGGACCTTCACTCAGGAGCTACTTGGGGGAGAGTCTTAGCATTGGCTGGCAATGCCAAGAATTATCACCTTTCAACAATTCGGTGGGTTGTGGGGTTTTTTGTTGCTGTTGTTTTTCGTTTTGGTCAGTTGTGGGGCCTGAACTCTGGGCTTGGGCGCTGTCCCTCAGCTCTTCAGCTCAAGGCTAGCGCTCTACCACTTGATCCACAGCGCCACTTCCAGCTTTTTTCTTTTTGCTTATGTGGTGCTGAGGAATCGAACTCAGGGCCTCAGGCATGCAAGGCAAGCACTCTATCACTGAGCCACCTTCCCAGCCCAAAGTGGTTGTAAACCCTCAGGCTCTTTGTGCATAACCAAAACTTAGAAAAGAGATTGACTTCCAATTTGAGTATGGAGGGGAAAAATCAGCAGAGACTTCAGAGGACCAGCCATGAACTAGCTACTCAGAAGACTGAGATCTAAAGATCCTGTTTCAAAGCCAGTTCAGGCAGAAAAGTCCATGAGACACTTATCTCTGATGAACTAGCAAAAAGCCAGAAGTAGAAATGTGGCTCAAGTGCTCAAGTGCCACCCTTGAACAAAACAGCAAGTGAGATCTTGAGATTCTGAGTTCAAGCCCCAGTACACACACACACACACACACACACGCACACACACACACACACACACACCACCTGTCAAGCCTACTAGATCCCTAATGGTTTAATTGATTATAAGATCCTGTCTGCCTACAGTCTATCCGTACTCATTTCTATCTGAACTAATTTCATCCTGCATAAATCCTAATGATCTAACAAAAATCACCTTTTCCAAGATGTTCTGGAAGCTCAAGAATACTGGATTAGAAAGAAGGGCTGAATTTATTGAACTAGGAAGGAAAAGTCCTACAGTGCCGGACATTGGACATCATTTCCTGAGTGCTTCAGATTACCTTCTTTTTTTTTTTTTTGTTGGTCGTGGGCTTGAACTCTGGGCCTGGGCGCTGTCCCTCAGCTCTTCAGCTCAAAGTGAGTGCTCTACCACTTGAGCTACAGCGCCACTTCCGGTTTTCTGGTGGTTTATTGGAGATAGGAGTCTCACGGTCTCTCCTGCCCGGGCTGGCTTTGAACCGCGATCCTCAGATCTCAGCCTCCTGAGTACCTAGGATTACAGGCGTGAGCCACCAGCGCCCGGCAACCTTCTTTATTCTCCACGGAGCGAAGCCTAATGCCTTCCTCACCCTGCCCTTGGCAACCTTGCTCCCATCCAGTCACTGGCTTCCCCTCTTCAGTGAAGACTGCACGGGACCATTCAGCCAGGAATGATGTCCCTGGCCTCCAGGGACAGACACCTGAAGGATGAATGGTTTCTAATTCACTTCCATCCCTTCAACTGAGATGAAAAACTTGTGATGAGTTGCCTTTTGTGACCCAGTAGAAACACTGTGTTATTTGGCTCATCAGTAAAATATATATGTATGTGTATACACGTATAAATATACACACATATATATGTGTGTGTGTATATATATATATGTATATATATGAACATACATATATCCAACTGGCAACCAATGAATTAAGGAGAGAAAAAAGAGGGCCACAGAATGTGGTTTTGTCTAGTGGTTTCATGTGAGACATAGTGTCAGCAGTCTTGATCTGATTCCCAGAAACCTCTCTGATTCACTTTGGGCAGGTCACAATATGTTTGCTGGATTTTTTTTTCTGGACAGGAAATGTGACTGTGGCTCACTTTAGCATCATGAACACGAGTTGTTGAGGAGGCACTTCAACCACAAATAGAGGAAATAAAACATTGTCTCCACAGTAGGTGAGCTACTGACTGTCTTTTTAAAAAGACTGGCACGTATCTGTCAACTGCAAGGGAGAATCAAATCACCACGGGGCTGAGGGTGAGAATTTTCTCGAGCTTAGCAGGGTGATCCCACCCTGAAAGTGGGAAGAATAGCTGCAAGTGGATTTTTACCAGGTTTCAAAGATGCTTTGAAACTCTTGCAGACTCTTTGGAGATGATGCATTCTTTCTTACCCGAGGCACAATGCTCCTCACTTCAGAGCAGTATGAGTTGGAGTTCCTGAGAAACTGGCACTAAGCTGTGATTAGGTGGGAGACAATACCTGTGAGGGGAGAAGAGGGGGAGGAGCATAGTCGCTGGAGACAAAGTTGGTTCTCTATTCGTGCGTTAGACACGCTGTCTAGAAGCCATGGCGAGATTTTAGTTTTAATTATTTTCAAATCATAAGGCAAACGAGTATAGTCATCACAAGTACAATAACAAACCCAGCCTAGATTCCTTTGTCTTTGCACCAATTCCATCATAGACTCGAGTTTTTAATATTGTACAGAGGAAAGAAAAGACCCGTCCTAGCCCGGCCTTGCTGGAGAAGAGTTTTCAGCACAGGATGTGAATCTTGGGGGGGCGGGGGCATGGCTAGGTGGATTGGTGATTTCCTGAAGAGCATCCCCTGGGATGCTGGATCACTGGCTAGGAAACATTCCAGAATGTTGTGGCCTTGGTACAAACACTGTTGTAGAGCCAAAGGGGAGGCAGCTGAGACTGGCAGGCAGTTATGGAAGCTGAAGCTAATTCTGTTGAAGGAGAAGTGGGCAGCCCAACCTGTGCCCACCCGCCAGTGATGTAGCAAAGAACCCAAGCTCTCCTCTCCTCAGATTCCCTCTGAGGCGTATCTTCCAGAAACAATACCTGCTCGATTGCTAAGATGTATTACAAAAGGTAACATCCACTGCATCTCTGCCTTTGAGGTTCACGTGAGTTCTTGATGCACAGAAAGTTATGTTATAGGGACTCACTGGCCACCATGCAATCTCCATTGCTAGAAAGTTCTAGACAAGTCTAGCTGCCCACTTCCCTCCTTCCCAGAGCTGCTGATAGGCATTTGGGCTTTGATAGAAGGAGTGTCCTTCTTTCTGTATTAGAAGTTCTGTCCAGTTTGACATTCAGACTCTTCCTTTCAATTCTGTCAGGCGCTGGTGGCTCACACCTGTCATCCTAGCTATTTAGGAGGCTGAGATCTGAGGATCACAGTTCAAAGCCAGCCTGGGCAGCAAAGTCCATGAGACTCTTTTATCCAGTTATCCATCAGAAAACCAGAAGTGGTACTGTGGCTCAAAGTGGTAAAGCACTACCCTTGGTGTATTCCAAGTCAATGTATTCTGCAAGGTGGACACAGCCTATCTGGTCTCCTCTGATGAGAATGTTTTTTGTCAGTCACAGGGCTTGAAGTTGGGACCTGGGCATTGTCCCTGAGTCCTTTTGTCTCAATAAAAGAGAAGCTACATGCTACGGGTTTAGTTGTGGTAGAATGCCCTGAAATCATGTGCCAGCCTGCAAGCTGCAACATTTATCCACCCATGACCAGATCTCATCTATACCCGCTCCTCTTCTGCCCCACCGCTGCCACTGGAAGTCGTGCTGGAGTGGGCCCCAGAATGGAGTCATTCCAAACTCTTGCTGTGTCTTCCGGTGTCATTCCAGGCCACTACATGTACGTGGACTCCGTGTACGTCAAACACTTTCAGGAAGTGGCACAGCTGGTTTCCCCCGTGACCACAGCTCCCATGTCCGGCTGCCTGTCATTCTATTACCAGCTCGAGCAAAGGAACGACAATGTCTTCTCCCTGTATACTCGGGACGTGGCGGGCCTGTATGAAGAGATCTGGAAAGTGAACAACCCGGGGAATGCCGCCTGGAACCTGGCCGAGGTGGAGTTCAGCGCTCCTTATCCCATAGAGGTAGGTGTGTGGGAAGCCAGATGCCAGGCCTGACCACCCTGCAAAGATGCCACGCACACAGACATGGAGACCAGCCCACGCGACAGCCTACACCCAGCTTTTGGTTCTTGCTGTAGCTCAATCCTTTTCTTTCATTAGATTTGTGTGCATGTATATGTTTGTGTGTGTGTGTGTGTGTGTGTGTGTGTGTGTGTGTGTGTGTATGCGTGCATACAGTACTGAGGCTTGAACTCAAGGCTTTGTGCTCTGGCTTAGCTTTCTTTTTCCACTCCAGGCTGGCATTCTACCCCTTGGGCTGCCTCTCCACTTCCAGTCTCTTGCTAGTTAATTGGAAATGAGATTTGTCTGACTGGGGTTGGCTTCAAACTGAGATCCTCAGATCTTAGCCTCCTGAGTAATTAGGATGACAAGCATGAGCCACCGGTGCCTTGCTTCATTTGTCCTTTGTGACAAAAAGAAATAATTTTCCATGTTTATGGAATACAGTGCGATGTTCTGTTAAGTGTTTGTAACATGTAATACTCAAATCAGGGTAACTAGTCTATGCATTACCACAAACATTTGTCATTTCTGGGTAGAGACAACATTCAAAATCCCCTCTTCTGGGCTGGGAAGGTGGCTCAGTGGTAGAGCGCTTGCCTTGCATGCATGAGACTCTGAGTTTGATTCCTCAGCACCGCATAAGCAGAAAAAAGCCAGAAGTGGTGCTGTGGCTCAAATGGTAGTGTGCCAGCCTTGAGCTGAAGAGCTGAGGGACAGCGCCCAGGCCGAGTTCAACCCCCATGACTGACCAAAAAAAAAAAAATCCCCTCTTCAAACTAGTTTTTAATACACAATGTATTAGCTATGGTCAGCCTCGTGTGCATTAGAAGAAAAAGAATATGTCCCACCAAACTGTAACTTTATACCCATCAGCTCACATTACCATCTTCCCTTCCCGTCCTGCCTTGCCTCCATTTGCACCTTTCTTTTTCTCTTCTCAGCCCCCTCTACTTCTCTTTCCTCTGTATTCTCTCAGCCTCCCCCCTTATCTCTGAGTATATTTTTATATGGTATGTTTCCAAATATGGAAGACCCCATCTTTGACCTTATGAGCATCCCACTAGGACCAGAGAGGGGAGAGGGAGGGAGGAGGAGGAAGGGAAGGAGGAAAGGAGGGAGGGAGGGAGGGAGGGAGGGAGAGTTCAAAACAGGCCATCAGAGTTCCCTGAGTATAGTTTTAGAGGCGTTCCTTAATTAGGAGAATTGTTATCCTAGAAAAAAGTATGTTCTTTCTTTCTTTGTGACAGAAATAATGTCATGATGTCAGAAGCAAACTTATCAGAACCCTAATTTAAAACCAGTCTTTGTGCCTTGAGTTAAAAAAAAAAACCAAAACTTTTTTCTTTTCCTCTTTTTTCTCATTTTTAAAATTTTCAATGATCTTTAATTAGATGTACAAAAGAGTTGCCATCTACAAAGCAGTTTATAAATACAATATATCTTGGTCCATGTCACCTGTCAACAGCCTACCCATCACCCTCCTAACTGCCGCTTCCCTTACTCCTCTTAATTTTGTAGGGTATAGATTAGCTTCTTTTCTTCATGTTGCCTCTCTTCTCTTCATTTGATTCTCTTCCCTTGATTCCCTCTCACCCCTTTCAAATATCCACTTCCTGGTGGGTTGTGTTGTTGTTGTTTTGTTTTTGCTGAACTTTAACATTGCCTATTTGAGTTCTCCCTTGAATCTACTGTATTTCATTTAATACTTTAAAAAAAGTTTTAGCAAGGATCGGTTTTAGTGTAACAAAATGAAAGTAAGAAGAAATAGTCAAAGAGAGACAAAAGGTTGAACAAATACATCAGTGGTATTCGCTAGACACTATATTGAAAATGAACTGGGAGGAAACCAAAAAGAAATGTGCTAACTTCTTACCTAACTTATGAAACAGTAACTGCTCTGTACATCACCTCTCATAACAATTAAAAATATTTCATTACAAAAAGAGACATTCCACTCGGGAAATGAGAGTTAAAGACTCCAAAATCTTTTTTTAAATAGTTGTCTAAGGGACAAATGTCCAACACAGAAGAAGTTGAAAATGCAAATTATTAAAATAACCGGACAACCTTGAAGCCAGTCTCACAACAACAAAGAATACTCACAGTTTGGTGTTTATCCTTGTGGAACTTTTTTCTAAACACACATATTGACACTTCCCTGTCCTAAGTATGGATTTCAGAACGTGCATGTTCCACAATTACTCTCCAATAACATCCATCATGTTATCCCCACGAGAAAGGAGGAAACAGACTGTCGAAGATGTTTAACACGTTCTTTTTTTCTAGGTCACATAGCTGGTGGATGCCAGAGAATGTAGGAAACTTTCTAGCCTAAAACCTCACCTACAGCTGAGGGAGGAGGCTCTGCTCTGTTTGAGGGTCCCACAGGACCTGAAGAGGTTCAGGGGGGCTGGATTGTGGTGGCCAAGTGTGAGGTGCCTGAGAGAGTTTGGAGTTTTGAAGAGAGTCTGTGATCACAGGCTAATAATACCCCTACCATCACTTTTCACTTTGTGCCTTTTACAGCTTCTTTCCCAGCTTCTTTTAAAGTAAGACGTAGCAAATTATTCATCCCGCTGGCTGCTTTTCAGGGGTGCCATCTGCCATCCTGCTGCAGAATCTGTGGGTTCTGATGTACCCCATCTACTAATGTTCTCATCTCCTTCCTATTTCTCTTGTCTGTATCACCCAAAATGGCCCTGGAGAGACCACAGTGCCATTTGCAGAAAGTGTGCCATTTCCTCACCCAAAGCCTGCCCAGGCCTCCATGGACTTGTGTGTGCACGTGTGTACGTGCAAGTGCCGCGTACCAGTTCTGGGGTTTTAACTCAGGGACCTTGCACTATCTATCAGATTCTTCAGCTCAAGGCTGGCACTCGACCACGTGAGCCACTTCTGGTTGTTTTGATTGGTTTTGTTTCTTTCTGGGTTTTATTTTATTTTGTGTTTTGTCAATGTTGTTAATTGGAGATAAGAGTCTTACAGACTCCTGCCAAAGCTGGCTTCTAACCATGATACTAAGATCTCAGCTTCCTGAGTAGTTAAAATTACAAGTGTGAGCCACTGATGGCCCTGCTCTATTTGCTCTTGTGGCCCAATGGAAATTAGTTTGTGAGTTTGGGTTGCAACAAGAAAAACTTAGGTGTGCATGTGTGTGTTGCTTTTTTGTTGTTGTTGTTTTGTTTTGGTTGGTCGTGGGGCTTGAACTCTAGGCCTGGGCACTGTCCCTGAGCTCTTGAGCTCAAAGTGAGCACTCTACTACTTGAGCCACAGCACCACTTCCGGTTTTCTGGTGGTTCATTGGAGATAAGAGTCCCATGGACTTTCCTTTCCAGGCTGGCTTTGAACTACGATCCTTAGATCTCAGCCTCCTGAGTAGCTAGGATTACGAGCGTGAACCACTGGCACCCAGCTTGCTTTTTCTTTTTTTTTTTTTTTCATTTTCAAGTTGTCAACATTTAAAAAAATCTAACATTTCAAATACCAATCTAAAGATTCAGCTCCTCCTAATAATTTGTTAGGCCCAGAGACATCAGACCTTGTACTTGCTTTCTAGAATGGTTCTACCAAAGTAGCTCAATATGGCTAGTAAAGAGGGAGTTGGGTCTCACATTTCTAAAGGCCACAAGTCTAAGCAAGGTTAAGGTGTCAGCAGGGTGTGTTCCTCCTGATGGCTGGAAGAGAATCTGTGCACTTGTGGTGATTTGATAGCATTCCTCAGATCTCAGCCTCCTGCTAGCTTAGCTGGGCTTACAGGCATGAGTTACAGGCATGATCCACTGGTGCCCAACTTCTTTTGAGACTTTAAATAACCTCCTGGAAGGACTCATCTCCCAATTTTGTCACAGTAGGAATTTAGACTTCAACATTGAACTCTTTAGGGGATAAAAATGTTCAAATTATAGAAATTTCATTCTCCCTAAAAGAGAAGAATATAGGTTGACTGTGTAGATGATTGTCCAAATGCTTACATTTCAGAACATAATTGTCTCTTATAATTTTGTCTTACCTGTTTTGATTGGCATGGCATTCTGAATCATAGTTAAAAGCAAAAACAGCATGTAAACAGCATGTATTTCCATCTTCAGGTTATTTTTGAAGTTGCTTTCAATGGTCCCAAAGGAGGATATGTTGCCCTGGATGATATTTCTTTCTCACCTGTTCACTGCCAAAATCAGACAGGTGAGCATTCTTTTTCTTCTTCTCTACTAGGAATTTTCCTTTCTCAATAGATGCCTGTGGTCATGGATTGCTTTAAATTGTCTTTGATTTCCATGTCTTTCATCTTGTCATCTCTCTGGACTATTTACACTCATTGCCCTCACAGAGTGAATCTGATTTTTCTGAAATTATAGGCAAGTTGTCATACCTTAAGATCCTCGTGTCTCCTCCATATACTAAGAAAGGAAAATTAAACATTAATTTACTCCAACTCAAAGGCTATCTTAGATCAGTAGACAGTGGTTGGGTAGATGCAAAGATCTCTCACAACCTAGAAACTAAAATTCTAAGACTCTTTCCAACTTGAAGTATCTGAGGTTTGTTTGTTTAAAGATGTTCACATTTGGTAGATATCTCGAGGATGGTTTTGGGTGAATATTATATCCTCTTAATGTAATTACTTGCGCTCTTTCATACTTCAATTAAATGAATTAAAATGTTTATCATGGCCAGTTTTATAATCCCATAACTGATGGTTAGAAACAGGAAATTCTTTACTTTCTGTTAAAAAAAACTTAAGCAAATTGAGTCAAAATGATTTGAAAAATAAATGGTGTACTATAAAGGATGACACTGTATTAGCGATAACCCAGATACATGCCGTTGACCTTGACATTTAGTGAACTGTATCCTTGAGACACTTAGAGAGACACTGGTTGTCTTGTCTTCTTAATGAGTCCTCCTTCTGGGTCTAGAGCATGGGAGATAATATTTTTGAACTTGACCTTTGTGGTCTGACTTCTCCAAACTAGAGCTCATGCCTAATTTAAGATTACATTAGTAGTAATTTCATAACCTCTTTATGATTATTTTTAGGAACTTTCTTTTCTCTTATTACACTTACATTGACCTTCTATTTCCAGATTTTATATGTGGGAGAAGTATTTACTCACTGTCTGCCCTGTGAGAGAGAGAGGGCTGAAGAAGAGGAGCGGATAAAATTAACCTTCATATGAGTTCTCCCTTTTGAAAAGGGAGCTTTTCTCTACTTATATTGGCAGTCTGTTGCTGAAAGTAATATAACATAACTCAGGATTCACATTCCGAGTTTTGCCTTTGTAAGCCATGTGACGTGTTTAGAATCTCAAAGAAATAAGCTCTACAATTGTGGAGAAAGGAGTCCTGCTTCACAGAGCTATTTGGGAATATTAATGAGTTAATTAACGTCTTTGACAGTGATAGCTTGGAGTAGGAGACATGGGAAATGCATGGTCATGTGACAATATTATTGACTTAATTTTTTTTGGGGGGGGTCTGGTCGTGGGGCCTGAACTCTGGGCTTGGGCGCTGTCCCTCAGCTCTTCAGCTCAAGGCTAGTGCTCTACCACTTGAGCCACAGTGCTACTTCCGGCTTTTTTTTCTTTTTGCTTATGTGGTGCTGAGGAATCAAACTCAGGGCCTCAGGCATGCAAGGCAAGCGCTCTACCACTGAGCCACCTTCCCAACCCTGACTTAATTTTTTTTAAATGTCCACTCATTTCCTGGAGAATTAGGGATTAGATTGAAATTTGCAAAGGACTTTGCCTTGATGAATGTGCCAATCAGAGTCTGCTTTCTCCTTCTTTTTTAAAAGTTTATTTATTTTTATTGTGTTGTGCCAGTACTAAGGTTTGAACTCGGGACCAAAGCACCTTCCAGTGTTTAAATCAACGCTGACACTTTACCACTTGAGCCATAGCTCCACTTCTGGCATTTTGGTGATTAATTGGAGATAAGAGTCTCGTGGGTTTTCCTACTCAGGCTTGCTTAACTGTGATCCTCAGATCTCAGCCTCCTGAATAGTTAGGATACAGACATTAACCCACTAATGTCCAATTTTATTTTCTCCTTCTTTGAGTAGCTGAGGTGTGTATTTTTGAGTCTCTAGAAGCTGAACTCTTTGGTTTTCATACTTTATCTTGCATGTCAAAGAGTATATGTCCTTCTGTTTCATAACAGGTGCCAACATTCTTTTTTCTTTTCTGTCTTCCTTTGTCTGTTTTCTCCAGCTAGATCTAGAATTTTCTTTCCTTATTTCTCTAGTCGGCTGAGACGGGAATTACTTCAAAGTGTAAAGCATCAGTTGCCACCATCTAGTTGGATTTAGAGTTATCTAGCCTTCCAGAACTAAGATTCATCGCTGAGCCATAGATGTTAAACATCATGTCACATAGCTCCCTAACCTCCACCTCAGGATGCTTCCAGAAGACATGACACTCCCTCCCCCATGACTTACAGCTTTTCCCTTGCCATACCTTTTCCTCCCATATATTCTCCTGTCCTAGAGTTCTTTAGGAATAAGATCTCCTTTGGGTTTATTAAGTCTTGATTACCTGACAATCAGTCTATCTACTTCTAGGAATCCTGCCTGAAGGCCTAACCCTGAATTCCTCTGCTAGATACAGACTCAACTTCTTTGGTCTGTAGGCCATTCCGCACCCAGGTTAGGGACCTGACCGATCATGGATACCCCCTCTCAGGAGGAGTCCTCTCCACTACCTGAATCCAGGTCTTGTCCCCTTCATGAATGACATACTCCCCAGACCTCTTGTCCAATTGAAACCTCGGATCCAATTCCTGCTTAGATCACAGGTGAAGTTTCCACAGTTTCCCTTGTCTCTCAGCCTTGAGGGTTTTTCTGCTTTGTCAGAGACCCGGCCCCTTGTATCATCGTGATTCCTAAGTCTGGGGCAGAGTTCCACTCATACTTCCACCAGCCAGTTTTGACTGTCTCCAACTGCCCTCAAGCTGGTTCATAGGAAATAAAGCTACCCTGAAAGGTTAACAACCTTCCAAGTGCACACTACCCAATAGCCACGTATTTCAGTACTACTGGGGCTTAGATCTAGAGAGCTGATGATGATGAGTTTATGCCCATGAATTTGATGGAGGCGAAGAAAGGACAAGAAAGACTTCCAACTCGTCTTCTCAGACTGTAGCAAATTCCAGCTAATTAGTTTATCTTCAAAAGCTCTCATTGCCAAGCGGTTCAAAAATCAGGCAGCAAGTAATTAACTAAAGCTTACATGATGATGCCTTTGGGTAACTTTGCTTCAAGGGGCTTTAATTTCTTTCTCTTTTTTAATTTTTTTTTCAATGATCCTTAACTGAGGCTCACGGGCTTACCTCTGTCTCACTCTTCCCTAGACATTAACACTCTCAGTAGCTCAACTTGTGATTACCACTTAACCCACGCTTCTGAAACAAGCTGGAAGTCCTAGGCCTTGCCCCCGCTCCAGATCCTGGGCAGCTTACTGATAGCCACAGACAGGCCATCTGAGCCATCTTTACTGATCAGATATTGTCTCAGGGTAGAGGCCATGTTCTGAGCGATAAAGATTTAGCCCATCAATTATGATTTTGAAATTTTCTTGTTATCAGACTGTAGACAAATGCACTTCTAAGAGAAAGTATTTTGCCAAAGAAAATATAATCATAGCCCAGTGCCCATGGTTCGTGCCTGTAATCCTAGCTATTCAGGACGCTGACATCTGACGGTCTCAGTTCAAAGCCAGCCCAAGCAGACAAATCTGAAAGACTCTTAGCTCCAATTAACTAGCAAAAAGCCAGAATTAAAGGTATGGCTCAAGTGGTAGAGGACCATCCTTCAGGGGAAAGAAAGCTAACTGAGGAGGGTAAAAGTAGAAGGGGCTCAGAAAGGAAGGGAGGAGGGTGAACAAATGCAATCATGCTACTCAGTATACACTATGTGAAAAATGACCTACATAAGAAAATCAAGCCAAGTAAGAGCTTCAGATCTTGAGTTCAAACTCCTGTAACCCTGCTCCAACTACCACCCCCCCCCATAATCACAATCATTATCATAAAAACCTTGGCCATGTGATTAAGTGTGTCACCCTGGGAAGAGGTGGCCCTTGCTTACTTTCAAGCTTTATTTTGGTTTTGCTCTAAATTTTTTTATTTATTTTGTTTTGGTAAATTTATTTCTTTACTTTTTTTTTATTTCTTACATCAGTCTTGGGGCTTGAACTCAGGGCCTTGGTACTGTCCTTGATTTTTGATACTCAAGGCTAGTGTTCTACCACCTGAGCCAGAGTTCCACTTCCAGTTTTCAGTAGTTAAGTAGAGATAAGAGTTTCACAGACTCTTCTGCCCAGACTGACCTCGAACCATGATCCTAAGATCTCAGCCTTCTGAGTAGCTAGGATTCTAGATATGGTGTGACTTTTGAACTGATTTCTACTGAGTATGATTTTCCAAAGGCTGAGAAACTCCTACTACTAATGCCAATTAAAAATAGAGAGGGGGCCTTGCTTTTGCCACAGAGACTTATAAAGAAAGGAAAAATTATTTCTGGAGTCATTTCCAAAACATAGGTCTTGAGAGAACTTGAGTCCCTAAAAATCCTTTCTGTCTTTTAAATTTTATATCAGTGGATTTTGAGTTGTGAAGAAGTGTATAATAAGTACTCAATCTTTACATCCTGCAAGAAAATTCCCTTTGAAGTCTGATTCTTACTTATTTTCATCAAGAGTGTGGACAGAACTCCTTTCTCCTCTCCCTGTGGAAAAGAAGAGAACAATTTCCCTGTCATGTTCAAACACTGTTTTGCTGCTAACTTGTCAGCCTGCCATTAGGGTAAAAATATTTTGCTGTGGTTTTTCTGTTTGGGTCTCCCCTGGTACAACTGTAGCCAGATCTGTCAATTCGTTGATGTTGTCCTTAGAGATCCTGGAGTTTGATGGTAACTTTGCTTCTTATTTGCTCAGGGCTTCCTTTCAGTGCTGTGGAAGCAAGCTGTAATTTTGAGGAAGATTTCTGCAAATTTTACCAAGATAAAGAAGGTCTTGGTTGGACCCGGGTAAAAGTAAAGCCTAACATGTATCGGGCTGGCGACCACACTACTGGTTTCGGTGAGTTGGGAGTCTATCTACAGGGACATCTCACCTGGTATGCATTTTGGGCCAGTCTTATTCCTACTTACAAAGAAATCAGTTTTTTAAAAAATTAACCCAGGCACTGATGGCTCATCCTTGAAATCCTCCCTATGCAGGAGACTGAGATATGAGGATCATGGTTCCAAACCAGTCTGGGCGAGAATGACCAGAAGACTCTTGTCTCTAATAAACTATCAAAACAACAAACAAACAATCAAACAAAAACAGCCAGTACTTGACCACTTGAGGTATACTTCTACTTTTGGCTTTCTGATGATTAACTGGAGATAAAAGAGTCTCACGGTATTTTCCTGCTGGGCTGGCCCGGACGGTTAATCATCAGATTTCAGCTTCCTGAGTAGGATGACAGGTGTGAGCCACTGGCACCTGGCTGAAAAGTATAACCCTTAATTGATGACCAGATCTAAGCCTGTGCCACAGGAAATCTATATCAGGTTCTGAAGTTTATGCAGGGGTCTCAAGAGGTGATATTTGTAACAGATGCAGATAGATATTTTCTATCACTTAAACCACAGACAGAAACACCTTCTGTCATTTAAAGGCCAGTGGGAATAGTCACTGTGTAGATCCACTGCAAAATGTAATCAAATTTCTTCCCTAATAAGCTGGACTAGCTTATTGCTCTTGCACTAAATACTTTACTATGTCCACAGGGTATTACTTGCTGGCCAATACCAAGTTTACATCTCAGCCTGGCTACATTGGAAGGCTCTACGGTCCCTCTCTACCAGGAAACTTGCAGTATTGCCTACGTTTTCATTATGCCATCTCTGGGTTTTTGAAAATGAGCGACACTCTCGCAGTTTATATCTTTGAGGAAAACCACATGGTTCAAGAGAAGATCTGGTCTGTGCTCGAGTCCCCGCGAGGTGTGTGGATCCAGGCTGAAATCTCTTTCAAAAAGCCCATGCCAACCAAGGTACAGTGGAGCCTGTGTGGCCTTTGCTCATTCAGTTGTGGGATCAGGTGATGAATTCATTTAGTTGCTGCTGACTGATGAGATGCTGTTTGCTTCCTGATCAGCCTACAGGCCTACCCTGTCCCCGACCCTAGCAATGTATGCATTAATTCACGCCCTCTTCACCCATTTTCTGGGTGCCTAATTCATGGGCACATAGGAGGCTTGCTTGTCTTTCTTTAAAGATTCTCTCTTTCTCTGTCACAAGCACACATCAGGGAGAATGATAGATTATTTTTATATCTATATTTTTTGAGAAAATGGGTTGGAATGAAACATGGTTGCTCTTCAAGTCATCTCTCATTATTTAAAAAAAAAAATATATATATATATCTTCAGGGGTGTGGGGAGGTGGCTTCGTGGTAAAGTGCTTGCCTAGCATACATAAAGCCCTGGCTTCTATTCCTCAGTACCACATACACAGTAAAAGCTGGAAGTAGCACTGTGGCTCAAGTGGTAGAGTGCTTGCCTTGAGCAAAAGAAGCTCAGGAACTACGCCCAGGCCCTGAGTTCACAAGCCCCAGGACTGGCAAAAATAAATACATACAGACATAATCTTTACAAAGCAGACATGGTACTCATTAGACACTATGTTGAAAATGAACTATATAACATGTAAGGGCTGGGAAGGAAAAACAGGGAGTGAAAGAGAGAGAGAAAGAGAGAGGGACGGAGGGAAGGACGGAGGAAGGGAGGGAGGGAGGGAAGGAGGGAGGGAGGGAGGGAAGGGGTAAGTGTTCACAAAAACAAATGTACTCTTTATCTGATTTTGTAACTGTAACCCTTCTGTACATCACCTGTTTTGTCAGTCATGGGGCTTGAACTCAGGGCCTAGATGCTGTTCCTGACCTTTTTTGCTCAAGGCTAATGCTCTACCACTTTGAGCCACAACTTTACTTCTGGTTTTCTGGAGGTTAACTGGAGATAAGAGTTTCATGGACTTTTCTCCCTGGGCTGAAAACCATGATCCTCTTATCCCAACCTCCTGAGTAGTTAGGATTATAGGTGGGAGCCACTAACTTAGGTGCCCAGCTAAGTTAAGGTAGTTTTGTGTGTGTGTGTGTATGTGTGTGTGTGTTCCAGACCTGGGGCTTGAACTCAAGGCCTGGGCACTGTCTTTGAGCACTTTTGCTCAAAGCTACAGCTCTACCACTTGAGCCACAGCTCTACTTCTTGTACATATCACCTTTATCATAACAATAAAAAATGTTCTTTAAATGCATTTCCCATGGGGTAACAAAGTTGACAAAAAATGTACTCATTACCTTACTTACGAAACTGAAACCTCTCTATACATCACCTTGATAATAAAAAAAAATCATTCCCCTCTGATAAAAAAAATACCTTTTAGTTGTACAGCATGATTTCACTTCAACTTGTCAGTTTATGCTTACAATGAATTTTTTATTTAATAGTTATACAAATAAGTTTCAATTCCAGAATCAGGTTATGAGTATGATGCATTTTGATCCATGTTGCCTCTTACATAATTCTCCCTGAATGATAGGATATTTTTTTGAAAGAAATGACCACATCAGCCAAACAAATCAGCCTGTAATCCTAGCCACTTAGGAGACAGAGTCTGGAGGAGCTCAGCTTAAGGCCAGCCTAAACATAAAGATTCCAGACTCCATCTCACTCAATGCCCAGACACCGTGGCACAGGCTTGTTATTCCAGTTACAGGGGAAGCATCATGGCTGGGAGCAGTGGCCCATGCCTGGCATGCCCAGTGACATAGAGAAGCAGCAATAGAAGGACAATGGCCTGGAATAGCCAAAGGATAAAGTGAGACCCTACCTTGAACATAACCAAAGTAAAAGCAGAGTTAGAGGTATAGCTCCCATGATAGAGCCTTACCTAACAAATATAAGGGCCCGCGTTCAATCCCCAGTATTGCAAAATAAATAAAGACAAAAAGGAGTAGCCGGGTGCCAGTGGCTCATGCCTGAAAAACTAGCCACTCAAGAGACTGAGACGTGAGGATCATGGTTGATCATAGCTGAGCCTAGATAAAGTGCTACATCAAGCCTGCCACAGTCAGAGAGGATGCACATAGGGAATTGCCAACAGCTGGCATTGATAGCAACAAAAATTAAAAAAAAAGAGACCTCCATTTCAAAATAGAATATGAAAGGAAACAATAGTCTCCCAGGATTAACAACACATTAACTTAAGGAGGTTGTGTAGATACAGTAAATTCTGTCATTACAACTCAGTAGGATAGGAAAAACCATTCTTCCAAAGATGACTATCCTTCAAGAAAAGACATATAAGAAAAGACATAGAATAAAAGTCTTTTCTTCTAAGCACTGGGAGCTCAGGAAATCTGGTTGAATGAACGGATCCATCAGTTGATTACTCTCATCGCCCTGTCTTGGAGAAGCCTAGTTCTCTTCATTCTCCTTAGGGATTCCCAAGGCTCAACTTTGCTTTGCTGTTAGCAGTTATTTAATTCCTGTAAGTATGGCAACACCTGTACCTACAAACACACATATATGCTATGCTCCAACCCTGTTCTGTTGAATTTTTTTGTGCATTTCTGGTTTTGTAGCAGGGTTTCACTATAATTATCTCAGGTTGCACCTGAACTTGCTCTGTAGATATGGCAGTCCTCAAACCCATGATTCTTTTATCTCAGAAGCCAGAGTACTGGGATTATAGACATGTGCCACCATGCCCAGCTGGAGTTTCTTCTTCTTCTTCTTCTTCTTCTTCTTCTTCTTCTTCTTCTTCTTCTTCTTCTTCTTCTTCTTCTTCTTCTTCTTCTTCTTCTTCTTCTT